GTCTGTATGGAGAAGGGGAGGGGGAAAATGGAGGAGTGGCGGGGGGATAATTGAAATAAAAAATACCCGCTTGGGAAAACTAATGGAAATTCTGGATAAAATTTGTAACACCCCTTGTCTAGCAAAACCTAGAACATTTATTTCAAGAAATTTCCATTTTTGTTTTAATATTTGTGTAATAAAGATACCACATAAAGATAGATGGTAAAGGGGGAGAGGGGGGGGGGCAAGTCATTTACAATTATTAAGAAATAGGAAGAGGGTGGGGAAAGGGGTTTGCATAAAATAAAATGATATTATTGTTTAACACATTAAATCAGATAATATATTACTGGGGTTACCACTCAGTCTTTTAGCCATTTAACGCCTCCACATGTATCTGCCACAGTTAAAGAGATTGTTTCTCAAAATTTGAAGTATTCTACTAAATCTACAAATGGATCAGGGGGAATTACTCACGAGGATTAATATTGGAAATCGGTAATTGTAATCATTTAGATTGGCTAATTGGTCATGTACTCTAGTTGTACACAGCAGACCTGTCTAAAATGTCCCATATTCTAGCCAGAGATAAGAGAGTACAGAGATATATTAAAGGCTAGAATATGCACTATTTTGTACAACTGGAGTACACGACCAATTAAACACATCTATCGTCATCTATCTTCAAGGATATTTAATAAGGATCATCAGGATACGAAATAAAAAACCTTTAAAAAATAGACGAAATCCATAAATTTATGTAAAAATTATAGTATTTCTTTGAAAATTGTAAAACTTAACCCCTGAATGGGTATTATATGCAACAAGTAGCGGTTAGCCGGCAGCGCAGACTACAAAGCCTTATGCAATGGCATGTTGTGCTGTTATAACGGTTATAGGCCTACTTAGCCCAGCCGGTGAAAGCTGATTAGCAGTCTGTGTACATCTAGTCTGTGGATTCTAGCCTAGATATGAACTTTTTATCTCTGATATTAAGTTTCGTCCTACATATATATCCCATAGTAGGAGAAATCAGGGAGTTCTGCATTAAAGGTTATTAAGTACAAAACTGAAGAAAACAACAACTTTCCCTAATGTCTATTTATGTAAACTGTAAATTATTAATCCTGTTACTTCCGGTTTCCAACAAAGGGTGAGATTGGAACAGGTTTCCAACAAAGGATGAGATTGGAACAGGATTCCAACAGAGGATGGGATTGGAACAGGTTTCCAACAAAGAGTGAGATTGGAACAGGTTTCCAACAAAGGATGGATTGGAACAGGTTTCCAACAAAAGGTGAGATTGGAACAGGTTTCCAACAAAGGGTGAGATTGGAACAGGTTTCCAACAAAGGATGAGATTGGAACATGATTCCAACAGAGGATGGGATTGGAACAGGTTTCCAACAAAGGGTGAGATTGGAACAGGTTTCCAACAAAGGATGAGATTGGAACAGGTTTCCAACAAAGCATGAGATTGAAACAGGTTTCCAACAAAGGATGAGATTGAAACAGGTTTCCAATAAAGGATGAGATTGGAACAGGTTTCCAACAAAGGATGAGATTGGAACAGGTTTCCAACAAAGGATGAGATTGGAAAGACGAATTAAAACCCATACAATATAAGAACTCCAAGGTTAAAGTAATTTTATATTTTAATTGCTTAATTAATGATTTTGAAAAGAAAAAAACAAGAATACAGTGTGCAGGGAATAGTGAATAGAAGGAAACAGATAGTATAAATTCCGTACAGTCGTCTCTGAAGTCTCATTCTTTGTTGGTAACCCTGTGCAATATACAATATGCAATATGCAATATGCCATATGCAATATGCAATATGCAATATCTTTTTACATAATTACGTAGAGAACGGAAGAAGAATGTAGTAAGTATACTCTACTGTTTCCGGGAGAAATGTAAACAATCTCTGTACTGCTTTGACCGAGGTTTGTTTACATTTCTTTCAAAAATTGCAGTACATTTTTATATAAACAAAATTTTTGAAATTCCTCGGTTGACTGCCTGGAATTTGAATTGTATAAAGTTGGTTGTTATATACCCTAATGAGATATGGTATTGTATAATGAGAGAGGGATATCCCAACCTTGAGTTTTCATTAGTATTGAATATATGAATAATATATTTTATCAGATATTTATTCAAATTTATCCTGCAATGTGCATATATTTTCTTACTTTTTATGCATTTTCTCAGTTTAGTCTATATTTGTACAAACTCCAAACTTTTTATATTTTGAACCACAAGCATTCAACTTTTCTATTTTCTTTAAAAACATTCTTTTATTTTTAAGTTTAAACTTTTTTGTATCTCACTTTTTCTTTTGATCTTCCTCAAAAAGGTCCAATTTTTTGTTTTGTTTTGAGCTTTCTGATATTAAAGTTTTGATTTTTTGTCTATGTCTATGTCTATGTCTATGTCTATGTCTATGTCTATGTCTATGTCTATGTCTATGTCTATGTCTATGTCTATGTCTATGTCTATGTCTATGTATATGTCTATGTCTATGTCTATGTCTATGTCTATGCATATATCTGTGTCTATGTCTACGTCTACGTCTACGTCTACGTCTACGTCTACGTCTACGTCTACGTCTACGTCTACGTCTACGTCTACGTCTACGTCTACGTCTACGTCTACGTCTATGTCTATGTCTATGTCTATGTCTATGTCTATGTCTATGTCTATGTCTATGTCTATGTCTATGTCCATGTCCATGTCCATGTCCATGTCCATGTCCATGTCCATGTCCATGTTTATGGTTATGTCTATGTCTATGTCTATGTCTATGTCTATGTCTATGGCTATGGCTATGTCCATGTCTATGTCTATATCTATGTCTATGTCTATGTCTAATGTCTATGTCTATGTCTATGTCTATGTCTATCTCTATTTCTATGTCTATGTCTATGTCTATGTCTATGCATATATCTGTGTTTATGTCTATGTCTATGTCTATGCATATGTCTGTGATTATGTCTATATCTATGTCTATGTCCATCTCTATGTATGTGTCTATATCTATGTCTATGTATATGTCTATGTCTATGTCTACGGTAGAGTAGAATTAAATGAATTAAAGTGGGGCTTTTCCTTATTTTAAATATCTCTTTCACTGCATGTGAGTGTATCTAATTTATATCGATCCAGAAAGGCTTCTAAAATCAATTTAATACGAAGGATAAACTCATGTAAGTTTCATCACCTTAGAGGTGTCATAAAAATCTAAGCATAGTTCAGGGTGTCTAAAGATATGCTTACGTATTAAAAAGAAAATACTGATTTTAATTTTTTTATGTATTGTTTACTTCTTTCGAAACGAATTTCAAAGCATCATAAGTGCACACATAGATTAAGCCTGTTAAATACAATACTTGTTTTTAGCTTTAGTTTTTAAGATGTAATTGGCGAAATTCTCATTGATTTTTGATTGAGAGCTTGCAAACCTTTAAACCACAGTGCACACTATATAAAAGATTTCGATTTTTAGAATATTTAAATCATCATGATATCATCAATTGATCATATACGTAAAAATATCCACTGAAAATTTTAGACCTAGAAGTAAAAAAATGTAGCTAAAGACATTTTTTTATTTAAATGAAAATTGGCTGAAATAGAATATGTACACGATGCACAGAATTCCTATGAAATAAAGATTTGGCCCAGGACACTTGAGCTATGTACTTTCAAAAGTAGATGACAATTAATTTCTACTAGCTTCTGGTTACCACTGTATGTGTAATCCCTGTTTGATTTATGTAAATAAAGATTGATACCGTGAATGTTTATATTTAATGTTTAAAGAAGCCAGCAATAATTAGATCGATATGTTTGGGGTATTTAACCCCCCCCCTGGGGGGGGGGGGGTCCAAAAATCGTTCTCTAGGAATATATTGTATTTTGGGGTAAACTCAGATTTAGGGAATTTCCTAGTATATGTTTTTTGAATCCCCCCCAACTCATGGAAATAATTGGTCATGTGGCCGCAGCTCCCGGCCCCCTAGACTGACCTAGCCGCAGCGCTCGGCACAGAAATTGTCTTAACCTAACTGAACCCTAAAATAATAAAAAATTTAAATAATTATAATTCTTCTGAAAATTAGTGGGCATGTACAAAATTGATTGGAGAGGGGGGGAGGGGAGGTCCAAAAATCGTATACTAGGACGGACCCTAGATGTTATCACTATGTTTAAGTACAATGATTTAATGTTCTTATTTCTGTCCTTAATATTCAAATATTGAGATGGAATTATTTCAGAACTTCCGAAAATGTAAATGAGTGAAACAAGGACAGCCTGAGTCCTGGAAAGAGAATCTACATCGGATTTAATTAAATCTCTAGAAAATGGACGATCATCATGATGATAATATTCAGGTTTCTAAACACTTTAAATCTAAAATCAAAAATATTTAATTTTTTCCTAGCCGCAGAGCACAGTCCAAAAATTATTAAACCCTAANATAGTTTTAGGGGGGTCCAAAAATCTTTTTCTAGGACTGATCTAACATTTTATGTGACTCTTAATTAATGGAACAGCGTATATCCTTGTCCTTGTATCGATGAAGTGCAAATCCTTGTAAAATCAATGTGTGGTTTCCTACAGCAGTAGAACAGAGCATCTTTCAGGGTTAAACTGGCGGGTCAATTGTGGAGTAAAAAGAGTTTTTTTTTGGTAGATTGGTAAATTAGTGGTATTTCATCTTTTTTGGCCATTGATTATTAATATTGACCTTTTTCCTGGAAGGAACTCTGCAGTAGACGGTTAATAATTGGCGGAGAAATATGATGGCACTCTATTCATTTCTTTCATGTAGAAAAGGTGCCTAAAATGTGTAGGGGGTGCAGAGTTATTGACAATTTGTTAAAATTATTTTCACCCATAGTTGTTAAAACTTTAAACCTCGGCTCCCAATTTATTTATATTACTTCCATCCAGCCAAAATCAAGCAGTATTTTGCCAATTACTTCTTTTAAACTTAAGCTGGAAACATTTTGATAATGTATATGCCTAGGACTGCAAAAAAGTATAAGTGAAATTGTATGGTAAAGATCGATCGAGACTGTCTAAGAATTTGATGACATATATAACTTTCAGAGCTGTTTTTATTTTTTTTCTGTTTTTCAGATTTAATAAGGTGCACAATAGCCAAATTAGAAAGATTAGATTTTTTATTAACCAAATTCTAATTTCTAAACTACTAAACTACATTGCTTCAAAATATGATATAGATATATGTTAAAACTACTTGTTAACTTTAATTACAAGATATAAAAATGCGGAAATTTTTCGAAAATGTTTTTGATTTAAAACCTCCTTCAGATTAAGGAGATAAAGATGTTTCTTGTCCAAACAAGGGAAACTTTTACTAAATTGGCATGAGTTAGTCTTATGTATTTATTTTTAGGTTTTCATAAAGTCCACACTAGACATTTAAATTTGATTAGAAATAAAAAATGCTTTAAAACATTTTACAAATGTCAAAACAATTAAATTGAAAAATTAAAAAATGCATAAAAAGAAAAAAATCTCAATAATATGATATATTTGGAATCTTAAATACATGAAAGAAAGAAGACACAACATACAAGCTTGGTTTTCTGACAGTTATACCATGGATACTTTAATTTTAACCTTCCCTCTTCCTTCCAAAATATGTTTAAAGTCTCTAACTTATCAACATCATATAAATTAGAACGGGTTTTAAACAAAAATCTAGTAAGCTTTCCGTCCGCAATGTTTCCTAAATTGTAGGATTCAATTGAAATTGAGCTTAAAGAGACTAAATCTGCAAAAATATTTAAACAACGAGTAATTAATACTTATATTGAGAATTATGGGAGGTTTAAATGCGAAAAATCTAGTTGTATATCATGTTAGTAGATTTTTTATATAAAAAAATTTAATTTAAAAAACTGACTCTTTATTAACTTATTTGGGTTTGTGCATGGTGTCGTTTACATCCTGTATTTTAATTTTTCTCCATATTAATCCCTCTGATCTCACCCTGCCACAGATTATAACCTGACAATCTCCTTCCTTCCAATAAACTCCTTACCTATCCAAAAACATAATTAAATGAGTGTAACCAATTATGTTCATTACCGTTAACTAACTTAGGGCCAACTACTCAAAACAACCTACCCTAGTTAGGCGGGTCCAGACTGCAATGTAAATTGTGATTGCTTTTTTGTAATATCTCATGCTTTGTAGTTGAATAAAAATATGAAAATATGAAAACATATTCAAGTCAAGTCAAGCTAAAGTAACTTACACAAAAAATTTAAATTTGATTGGTTTTCAATGATAATTTATCAATCTCAGAATGATAATTTCTTATTTTCTTTAATACATTGCAGTTTGTATGTATTTATAAGTTCATTATCGAAAAATGCTAATAGTTCACCACTTTGGAGTTAAGGAGTTTATTTATTTAAAGATTTTTTTACAATTTATTTTTAAATTAAAGATTTTTTTACAAAATTTTAAAAAGAGCATTAAATTTTTTTTCTCTGACTGTTGTATCTTCTTTTTAGCTGATGCACCTGTTTATTGTTCCAGTAAGATTAAATTTATTCTTGCGACCACACTATCTACATGGAGTAAACCCTATCCCGGCGGGTGGGGGGAGGGGAAGGTATCTCCATAGCTTAAAGCTGGCTTGCAATTTTCAACAGCCTCATTTTGCCCCTAAAAAAAACTTTTTATATGGAAGGGTAGGTTTCACAATTCCTGGATCTCGTGTTCATTTGAGTATTTAAAGTCATAACTTGAGTCTAAAATTCGTCTTCTTATTCCAGAGTTTTATGGTTCTCACTGTATTATTGGAAAAGCCAAATATTATAACGTTAGTCAAAGAATTTTTTTTACATTTTTACGACGCACTTTTTAATTTTTATCTAACCCTCCCTAGCAACCTAATCATTAAAGTGAGAGGTCTTGAAAAATTGAACTACTGAAACAATATCACAATCCCTGATTTCAACTCAAAAAACGAAACCATGAAGGGAGGGTTGTTTGTCATCCACCCCCTCACTCAAAATATTTTAGGATAGGGTTAAATATATATGATATTATCATGTGACTAAATTGATGAAGGACATATGGTGGAAAATGGCGTCCAATAATTCCAATATGGTCACACGTAACACGTTGACCAATACTCTTAATACTCCAACCAAACAATCTGACAACACTAGTGCACCAAATATATTCATTATTCATTATTTATCTTCACGCCATACAATATTTAATCAGTTAACTTCTAGTACATTTTTAAGGGACTGTTAAGGTAAAATGAAAAGGGGTATAGGCTGAAGCCAAAACTCATTTATATGTAATACGGTATACATGAATCAAAGTTTTGAACAGATCATATTCAGCAAATACGAAACAAATCTAAAAATTAGGATAACCCTGAGGTGCCTAAAATGTGTAGGTACCCTCCCATTATAATTTGAATATTTGAATACACTATACATGTGGTAAGCGATTATATCAATATAATAAAGACAACTTTCGATTTCAATTTTGATTTATTTCAAGCTGTTAAACAGCAGGGATAGTGTACACATATAAACATAAAAGTCAAGAGAACCTGTCAATTTAAAAAGCTTCTTTTTGATTACTTGTAAACTTGTAATTTTCATAAAAAGGTTGATAAAATATAGCAGATATAGCTGTCAGAGGCGTAGTCAGGAATTTGTCCAGGGAGGGGCCCTTACATTTTTTCTTTTCAGGGGGGGGGGGGCCGGGGGTTGCTCAGCACTCATTGGGGCCTGAAAACACCCTGAAATTCTAAGTTTTCATTGGTCCCCACAGTAACCCCCCCCCCCATGTCTACGCCTCTGAATTAGGTGTGGATTGGCAACTGCTTTATTTCTGAAGTTAGTTTGAGGGTTAGTGTAGGTAAAGACAATTTCTGGGCTGAGCGCTGCGGCTAGAACAGGCTAGGCCGGGGGCCGAGCGCTACGTGCAGGACAGCCTAGAGGCCGTGCGCTGCGGCCACAAGTCCATCTGGCCGCTGTAAAACCACGTTCTAGTAGGTCGGATGTGTAGTATAGCGGATTTGGCGTAGGTAAGGAGTGGAGTAAAGCGGATTTTCGTAGGTCGAAAGATCAAAGCATTCTCTGCAAAATGACAATGGTAATGTTACATCGTCTATACGCAACATCCCCCTACTGAACTTCCGACCTACTAACTTTCCGACCTACTGCAATATCGGACCTACGCCAGCTGTTTATTTTTGTATTATTTGAGGATTAGGTTAGGTTAAGACAATTTCTGGGCCGAGCGCTGAGGCTAGGACAGGCTAGTGGGCCGAGCGCCGCGGCTAGGACAGGCTAGGGGGCCGCGCGCTGCGGCCACAAGTCCATATAGCAGCTGTAAAACCACGTGCTAGTAGGTCGGATGTGTAGTATAGCGGATTTGGCGTAGGTCAGAAGTGAAGAATAGCGGATTTGCGTAGGTCGAAAAATACACCACCGACAAAGATATTTAAGTTGTCGTCTTTGAAAAATCCAGATTTCGAGTCAGCTGAGTTGAAACTAATAAGTGCGGCAACATTAAAGGCTGATGCGCCCAACGTCTACACTAACTTACCAAGTGATACACTTAAGTTTAAACGGCACAGTTCGCACAGAAGTCCACAAATTATGTTAAAATTTTAGTTTGGAACTTTACTAAGCGTCGCACAATAACGTCAAGTTGAAATATACTTATAGAAAGAGACTGTCATCTTGGAAGTTAAACCTAAGAGTTATGAAGACAATTTCTTGGTCTAGCACTGCGGCTAGGCAAGGTCACGATATGGAACTAGTACTGCGGCTAGGACAGGCTCGGTGGTCAATTACTGAGACTTGATAGGGTAGGCGGTCGATTGCCGCGGCTAGGACAGGCCAGGGGTCTGGACTCTGCGACATGCCGATGTGTTAAACACAAGATGCATGCATAAAAATATTTGGAAGGGGGCCGACGTATAGTTCCGTTGACGAAGATGTCGGGTTAATAAGTCTTGACTTTAGACTTTTGACATCGGCATGTCGGAGACTAAGTTTGTGCAGGGGGTGGGGGTGTCCTAATATTGTTTTCTGAATCATTAAATAAGAGTTCTTTTACTATTCTGGGGTCTGTCCTAGTGAACGATTTTTGGATGGGCTACTTAAAACGCTAATTTTTTTTTCAAATTCCTACACATTAGTCTAATCTATTTATTTTAATATCTCGTTAATAAATTTCTTGTCAGGTGGATGGGTGTAGTCTCAGTTTTATAACTTCAAAAAGTGAACGGTTAATCTTTACCTGGCCCATCAGGTTAGATTTTGTAAATTGTATGGTTAAAACGAGGAAGGGGTTGTGGCGGGGGATTCTTATAAGTATATACCCCTTGATTGTTGTGAAAGAAGTAATAAAACCATTATACATACCATATTCTTATAAAGTTGTCTTGCATATTGTGATTATCAAAATATTTATCCACATTTTTATATAAGTAAGAAAAAGTAGTGAAGTGTTGAGAAAAATGTGAAAAATGATATTTAAAAAAATTTTCATTGGGAAGTTAACCCGGAAGATTGGAGACAGTAAAAGAAAATGAAATTGGTATTAGAATTTAAAAAAATTTGTAGCGATATTTTATTAAAAGATAACAATATCTAATTCACAATGGTACCCTTAAGAGCTATCTCTGATCAAGTATCAATGTCTACAATTTCAAAATATGATTATTTTCAATTGTAGTTTATCCACAAAAGTAAATTGCGCATTATTTTTTCAGAAAACCTCATATAAATTATCCCTTAACACTTTTAAACTTCGAAGAACGACACTATTGATCAGAGGCCGTTCCGTTCATCAAATGTACGGAGAAATATCTATCTATCAGATAAGAATTTAGCATAAGACATCTAGCGGCCAACATATCGTCCCCCAAAGTACGCGAACTACACGACCACTTTCTATGGTGAGAACGGGCTCAGATAACAAGAGTGCCGTTGGGAATTGCCAATGAAATCGTTGCATGAAGATTGGAGAGTCACTTGTAATTGCGATGACAGTTCCTTCAATCTTGTATATTTACTAGAGGATTTAGTGAGCTGACAACAAGTATGAGCACCCCCTTCTTCAACTTCATGGAGGAAGAGCTCACAGACTCCGTCAAGTGGAAGGTCAAACTCATTCCAATGGTAAGTACAAAGAAGATATCTCTGTTTGTCTGTCGGTCTGTTTGGGTATCCGATCATAACTCCGGAACCACTTACTTACCTGATGTTGCTTAAATGTTGAATGGATTATTCGGTAGAACCATGGGAAAGTTCTTAATTTGGTATTCAAATTATAAGTTTTGTTCGCTGTCTTTTATAAGGAAAGTTTATTTTTCAGACAAAGCTGGGTTCCTAAGCTAGTCCCATATAAAGGTTGATTGGACTCATATCACTCTCCACTAAACGCGATTATATCTTCGGTCAGTGCACTGCAAATTACTGCAGAACGCAACCGAAAGCTTAGTTGAGGGTGATATGTTGATAAAAGGCTGCTGACAGCTCAGTGCTCAGATGATTTTACTTGTTGCGAGTTAAAAAAGCAAATAAACGGCGGCGTTTTAGATTGTTACAAATAAAGTTTGTTTGTCATCATAAACTAATCTGTACTCTCCTAAAATAGGGTCATTGGAGACATTAAAATCATAAATATAATCTGCTATATCCTAAAAAGGTCCTTCTATATTTTGTTAATTTTATGTCAAGTATTAAGATCAAGTTAACATAATTTATTTGTTTTGAGCGAAGGTCATATTAAGGTCACATAAATGATTGTATGAATTTATTTTTCACATATTTAAGGACGTAGATGGTCAAGGGAACTCAGTAGTAACAGCCCAGGTGTTCATTGGACACAAAGATGCTGATCCTGCACAAGGATTTAAGGTAAAAAAACCTTTTACCTTGCTGTTAGCTTGTCTGTCTGTTTGTGTCCAATAAACCATAAAACGACTGACCCAATCCGGTCCAATTTTTTTTGGAAGGGAAGTTTTATGGAAAAGTTTGGCTCAGAAAAATGTCGACATTCTTTAAAAAAAGCGCTAATTTATACAGAAAAATTCGTGTAAATTTGAATATGGTTAAAGCTGGCGAATTTTAGAGTAACGTTTAAAAAGTTCTATAATTTTTAATAGGAAAGGGAGCAAGCCTTGTAATATAATTTACAAGAAGATGACAAAGTTTTAAACTGCAACTTTACTGTTATTTTGCACTTGTGCAATTATATTTCCCGGCATTTTATTTAATTTCTATTTTTAAACAGGTTTTGTTATTCGACTTATTATTTTTCGTATAAAGAATTGAATTAAAATTTTATTTTATCCTTAGATAGACAATTTTCTTGTTTTTTATTTTTTGTTAAATTATTTGTTTATTTAGGTTACAATATCTATTGCTATTCGAACAGTTGACAGTCAAGAGGTTTACAAGGTAAGCCAATCTAACCCATTAAAAAGTATTTTATTTTTATGAAACAAAAATATTTTTTCCATTTCCATTCTTATGCATAAAGGTAAATGAATTTGTCAACGAGAATAAAAGTAAGCATTTCTATCAAAAATTAAAATAAATGAAAGTAATTAAATTCCAGAGGAAATACGAAGATGAAAATGTCTGAAATTAATTTATTTACAGGTTGGAAGCTCTATTTACTATCTGGCGAGAGAACGGTATCCTGATGGTGGAACTCCGAGTTATAAGGTTCGTTGATTGATTGAATACATTTTTACTGACATATTTGATTTTCCCCACCAAATAGCGGTGAAAAGGATTATTTCCTTATCAATAAAGTTCAGATTATAATGGGGGGGGTTACTACCCTGGTAATAACTAGTAGATAACAACAGTTCCCTTCTACCCAACAATGTATTGATTGATTGATTGATGGGTTGATTGATTGATTGTTGATTGACATATTGATTAATTGATTAATGCCTCTATTACTGCAGGCAACTCTTCTACCTTGGCAAGAATTAATAGATAACAACAGTTCCCTTTTACCCAACAATATTTTAACTCTAGTCGTCAAACTCAGATATTCATTCACAGAGGTAGGTAGATGTTAGTTATCTTTTTTTTACATTTTAGTTCTTAAGCTTTCTGAAGGCGTCTGAAATATTTCATAATTTTCATAAGTGTGCTGTTTTAGCTCAAACAGAAAATATATAACTTTTCACATTTTTAGGGAAGCATATTTGTAGTAAATAAAAGTTTGTAAATCGTTAGACCTTGCAGTAAAATGTCATTACTCGATTAGTTCGATTAGTTCAGATATAATTTTATTTTATTTATTTTAATTAATAAAAAAATTTTGTATTGAGGCTTTTTTTAATGATATATGTTTTAATTGCTCACACCAGGTATTATGTTCTAAAGTCAAATTCTAGATATTAAAAGATTTTCAAGTTTTCAAGTTTATGTTTCATCCATCATCTTTTTTATCGATTGTTTCCAATCGTTTACCAAGTAAAATCTAGCAAAATAAAAATTTTACTACCTATTTATTATGATTATTGAATATTTTAATCGGTGCTATTTACGGGGATTTTTCTGATATGGAGGGGGGGGGGGGGTACGCCTCTGTTTACTCTCCTGTCTTTTTTATCAGTATTATCATTATTGGTATCATAAGCATAAGCAATGTTAAGGTTTGTGTAAGAGAAGATGGGATTAAAGATGATTTTTTAAACCCTCCAACTTCACTCAGTAATGACTTAGGTACTATATTTTCTTCTCAAAATGATGTATTTTCAAGAAGCTGAAGTTAAAGAGTTGTAGACCCGGCAATACACCTTAGCAAAAACTATTACCATATTCTTTTTATTAGACCTAAAAACTAATGACATCAAGGGTTTCAAATTGACCGATTTCATTTTAAGACTTCTTAAGTAAGAAAAGGACTATATATTTCTTATTTTAAATGAAGAATTGTTGACCATTTTTTCCCGGGTCAAATTTGTCAATTTTGACCATCCTTGTGGTCAGGTGGATTGCCAAAAAAATTGAGCCTGATTAATTAAGCTGTTTGAGGTTTATTGGATACTAAAGGACAGGCAGACAGACAAGTCAAATATACACTTTGAAAAGTTTAATTGTTAAATAAAAATGTTTAGGAGAAGCATTAAAAATGGCAGATTTCACCGATATGACAATTGTTTGTGATCAGAAGGAATTCCATTGTCATAAGTTTATTCTTGCAGCCAGGTAATAAACCTAAAATCTGTAATCTCTTTAAACCTATTCTTCTTGAAGTTAACCCCCCTCCCTCCCCTGCATATGATGGGTGTTTTTAGAAACTAGGACTTTAAACACTTAACATATTTTATTAGTAAAAATCTTAAAGTTAACCCCCCTCCCTACCCTGCATATGATGGGTGTTTTAAGAAACTAGGACTTTAAACACTTTACATGTTTTATTAGTAAAAGTAAATTAGTAAAATTAGTAAATCTAGAAGCGGATTGAAGCATTTATAAAATGTAAAAACATTTCAGTGTTGTCAAATGAATTTATTGTTTATTATAAATTACTGCTCTTTTACCTTAACTGCCCCTTCCAGCTTGCCAGTCTCTTAACCCTCGCTATATCTAAACTGTTCCTAAATTTCTAGATCTGAGGTTTTTGCTGCTATGCTCAGGCATGAATTCCTGGAAAAACAAAACTCAAGAGTTGATGTTAAGGTAAGAGAGGTTGAGAAGGAGAGAAGTGGAAATACGGGTCTTGATAAATGGATGGTGGACTTAAGGGATGGAAAGGGGATCTTATTGAATGGTTAGGGTGACTTTATGATGGAATAGGGGGACTTCCTATCTATATCTTTCTTTTTATCTCTATCTATCCATGGATCTTATCTATTTATTCCAGGAGATAGATTCTGAGACTATGGAGCTGTTGTTGAACTATATCTACACAGGTCAGGTTCAGGACTTCAACAGGGTCTCAGTGGTCGACCTTTTCAAAGCTGCAGACAGGTATATTAACAATTAAAAGACAGGATGTGGGTGGGGTTAATATTTATTTGATTTATACAATGTTTTGACCAACAAAACTCAGGAAATGTTATTATGATATAGTTTTAGTGGGCGCATGATTTATGCACACTGCACTGTNCGGGTGGTTACCTAGGATAACCAATAAAGGAAAAGACTTTAAAGGGCAACCTAGGACTCAATAAGTATAATGATCTCAAAGGTTAAATTTGGTCTTCTGCCTAGAGTAAAGCCTTTAAGAGATGTAATAGATGATTGCTCAAAGAAAGAAATTTAAAATGAAAGGGAATAAAAAAAGACTATTTTGAACTAGAGGAAAAATATGTTAAAGAATTATTTTGTTTTTGTTGAATTTGAATTGATCATATACACACTGATCTAGATACCGGTTAGATGATCTTAAGCATTTATGTGAGGAAGAATTGATAGAAAGAGTTGAGGTAATTTATTAAAGCTTGTTACTTTTCTTTACACCTTTTTTATATATCATTTACAATAAAGCAATCAGTAATATAAATAAATAAAAATTTTTTCTTTCATGTTTTCCCTTTTGATACTAATTTGAGTTCTGTATTATAATTTTTTGTTTTTATAAGAAAATACCATCTCTTTCTTAATTAGAAATTTATTGTTTTTTCAAGTTAGAGAAGATTTGTGTCATTAGTGCCAGGAAAAAAATCGCTAGTTGAAAGTCCTCAAGAATTTTTACATTATTACATTGGACATCCCTTCATCTTGGATCATGGGTAATGAGATGTAATTGAGAGGATAATAGCATATACTTAATATTTCACTATTATACCTAAATCTGCTCTCAAATAATTATTTTATTTACCAGAATTTAAAAAAAATGATAAATAATAAATTCAAATTAAAAAGTACATATCTGTTTATAAACCATCATGTTATATCGATAGTTTTCGGATTATTTTTCCTTTTTTTAGGAAAGAAATATTTAAGTTAATAAAAGCAAACTTTAACATAAAATAAGGTTGAAGTCTTAATGGGGGGGGCACAAAACGTATTACTCTCCAGAAAATTCAAACATTATACATTACTTAGCATTGTCGTAGGATGCTGATTTTTGCATGCGAACTCATGTAAAATATGTTGTAAGATGACCCATAGCGTAACGGTAGGCTTCTAGCGCACCGAACCGATCAGAGTGGTCAAAAGACTTTTTAAGCCAAGAAATGGAAACTCGTGCCCAAATACCTTTAAATTAATATACGACATTTGGATTTGGATTTGGATTTTGTAGATTTGTCATCAGAGTTCCAGATAGGAGCATAGAGATGACGTCTTTATGTATCCAGCATTTTACTCATAGGTTTCTCATTCCTGCTGTTCCGGTATTTTATCATATAAGGACTTGAAAGTTTTTATATTTCCTGCTCTTTTGATATATTCTGGTAATTTGTTCCATTTCTCCGCTACTCTGTTGGTGAAGAAATTTCTTCTAACCTCAGTCCTGCATCTGGTTGTTAGTATATTTAATGTATCAGAAGATTGCCTGGTAACCCTGACTGATTCTTCTCCTGCAGTCTGGAAGAACTGTCTCCTGTCTACATTGTCGTAATTGTGGATTAGTTTGAACACTTGAATCATGTCATATCTAATCCTTCTTTCTTCTATAGATTGAAGACCAAGCTCTTTTAACCTATCCTCATACTCCTTGCTTTGCAGACCTGAGAGATTTAAAACTGTTTGATGACCTGTAATGTGACATATGGCTACTAGCGCGCCAGCCAGAATGCTCCAAATTCAATTTTGACCTCGGAAATGAATTCCGTGTCCCAATTTACCTGTAGTTAAAATTAGTTTAAGATATCGCAGACTGCTTGTGTCCTGAATTTGGCCCAACTTGAATAAAATATAATCTTTAATTTTTTCTTATATGCTCGGTGGGGATTTGAGGCTCTAGGGCGCAAAACTATTCAGGGATTACTTTTAATCACGTCCTGATGCAAATTCAAGTTCATTTAATGGTGTAAAGTTTGTGAAAATGTGTAAAAAGTCGTATTTTTCAACTTAAAGCGCGCCCGCCCGAGCATTTTTGCTCGGATTTCTTTAAATTTGCATTTTACAGTTACAAAACATATTGGTGAGGTCGCAAGCAAAAATAATCAGCGTCCTACGACAATGCTAAGTTATGTTTGAAAACTGTTTCCGGAGAGTAATACGTTTCCCCCCCCCCTTAAAAAAACAACAATCCAAAACCATTAAAAACACTAACTGCAGGCGAGTAATGCCGCTGATATTCTCTCCTTGGCGCACAAGTATAATGCACAGCCTCTCAAATCCTTCAGCTTGGCCATGATCTCGAGAAACGTTGAGGAGGTATGATTTTACTTCATTAGGAATTTTTTGCTTAATTTTTATATATCTTAAAAAATTAGCGTGAATTACACCTTTTCTCCTCTTTAATTGATTTGTTTATTATTTGTAGATGGGCAGGTTCCATGATCGTTATATTATTTATTATGGAAAAAAAAGGCCGTGCATCTATGGGAGTTTTTATATTTTCATATTATTTATATTATTTCCGCTACTTAATGGATGTCTTAGTGGTATTTTATAACTTCATAAATAGTAATTTTGTGTCACTGTAATGTAAATTATTACAGGTTAAACTTTTACTTTAAACTATGGAAACCCAAACATTCTCCCTAACAGAAAAATCAGGCATTTACGAGATTCATTTTCGCGAACACTTCCTTTAATAATAATATTTCAGAGGGAAATGTAGCCCAGGTATTGCAATACAGGATATATCACTTATAATTCCTTTAATAATAATATTTTTGCAGGTAATGAGATCGCCTGGTTGGAAGGAATTAATACAATCAGATCAAACACTTCTCATGGAGGCGTTTGATAGTTTAGCAAGGTAAGAAGTTCAGTGAATGGGGGCCGGGGGGTGCGGGTGGGTGGGGTGGGGCTAGACGATTATTGACCGGTTCAGTAACTGTAAATTATATAAACGTAAGAAAGAGGCCCATCAAGTAACCTTACTTTTTAAACTTATAACCTAATCTGTCCAAGAACCGAATTTCAGGAATTTGTGCTATGGACCTGATATGGATAAATTTAAATCACCGATTCAAGACATACGTAGGTGAATCGTCTCTAGACCTAGCTCAAATTCATCAAATCCGGTCCCCGCCCGGTTTAAAGAAAAAACTTAAAATTATTGGACAGAAATTCGTTATTTCCTCCAGGCATACATTAATCAAACCGAATGATAAGATATTGGTTTGTTTTCATAAAGTTTTTATTTGTTTTAAGTTTATGTAGTCCATTTATTTGCTTTATGTTTATGGTGTCCGTTTATTTGTTTTATGTTTATGGTGTCCATTTATTTGTGTTATGTTTATGGTGTCCATTTATTTGTGTTATGTTTATGGTGTCCATTTATTTGTGTTATGTTTATGGTGTCCATTTATTTGTTTTATGTTTATGTAGTCCATTTATTTGTTTTATGTTCATGTAGTCCATTTATTTGTTCGTTCGTTAGGTTTTATTCAAAGGGTTTTACAGTAGTTTTTAATAAAACTTAAATGGTTGTTCCGTCCCTGAAGTTCCGGAATCTTAAAAAGGTCCGTTCATGAATGAATGTTTGCCAAAAATGGTTGCATGGCTGAAACTTGGTCGTGTTGCTGGGATTTCGTCACCAAATATTGGAATTTAACCTTTAACTAGATACATTGCAAAAGTCAGAATTGAGTTCATATCCGAGCTAAAAAAAAGATTTCTCATTTAGGAATTGAAACTCTAGGCTGAGAAATGGAGCCTAAAGCTTCCCCAACATTCATGATTTCATTTGATTTGATTCGTTAATAAAAGTTTGTGAAGCCCCAGGAATATATATTGGTAGTGAATTCAACGATATTAAATAAATAAAAATAATATGTTCACATCTTAATTTGAAGTTTATTGATAACATTTTTATCTAGTAAAGGCTGAAGTTTTGTGTTTCAGGTATAACACTGAACTAAAGAATAAACTGGAGAAAAATGCTTAATTAAACTTCCTGACCTCATTGCCTGGCTACCATCATCATCTTAATATCAGGCTCCCAACATAGACTTTAGATATGCGAGGGTCACCATCAGATCTCCATTATTTCAGAAATTTTCAAGACCAATATCAGATTTTCAACATTCGAGTCCCAACATCAGATTCATCGTTAGATTTCCATATGTTCAATACCACCATCAGCTTTCAATTCAAACATTCGAGTCCCACTATGACCAATAGATTTCCAACATTCGAGTCCCACCATATTCTATTCACTTAAGTCTATCAGTACCAACATCAGATTTCCATTTTTCGATTAGATTAGCATTAGATTTCCAACATTCGAGTCTCACCAAGCCCAGTAGATTTCCATACTTATCAGACTTCCAACATTCAATTGTTACCATCAGAATTCTTAATTTTGTTTTAATGAATCCTATTTTTTAGGAATAAAATTTAGTGATAAATGTTTTTCATCCTTGTTATTATTTGGATAGATCTCTCTACTGCATACAGGGGTATATATGAAGGGAATAGAAATTAACAATTGTTTGGGCCTATTAGAGAGAAATTTTATAAGTTAAAAAAATATATTTTTTTCTGGAAAATTTATACCCCTGTCTGGAAACTGTAATATTATTATTGTTATATTCTAGCTGTGATAAAAAATAAATGAGTATTATTTCAGATGCTATATTGAGCAGAAAATGGTGGGCCGAGTAATTTCATTGTCTACTCTACACCGTTTGTCCAGGTTGGTTCTAGCTAAATGTCATAGACTTATACTCTCGTTTCTTATATATATATATATGTGTGATTCCCTTCAATAGTTGACTTATTTTGTCATCTGCCAAATCTTATATTAAGCCATTTAAAGGCTACATTCAGGACTTAACATGGGGATTGTCATATTTTAAAGATTATAGGTCGTCTTTACAGTCTTGTCCTTTGTGTAACCCTGTATCCAGATACTTGTAATAACAGGAGGGTAATTTCACCGATGGCAACTTCCCAAATTTGCAGTTTTCCAAAAGATTTTAAGTCAAAGTTTTCACAGATTTTGAAGTTTTCAACTCATTTCATAAAACAGAAAACGACGGTATCTTCCTAATTGTTTCTCAGATAAAGGTTGAAAAGGATGCTGACACCGTTAGTCACCCTTAAAGTCGCAAAATACTTCAAGAACAAATTTTGTTCTGTTAATTTTCCGAAAAAAATAATTTTCGCGACCTCACAAATGTTCTATGATTTGGTTCTCCTCTTTAAAAATCTTATGATAGCTTATAAACCAAATAATGCAGGTTTTTTTGGAAGTCAAAGTACTTCATTTTTGATAAATAATTGAAAAAATTTAGTCAGTAAATTATTAATATAAATTTTCCATTATCTTATCCTTAATCTCAATTCTTAGAAATGAATAATGAAATGATTATTTTGTTTCATATCATTTAATGGAACTAACCTTGGAACTAACCTAATTGTTTAAAGGGACAGTAAGCGTTATTTCAAGTGACCCTACATGCAAAGATAGCAATGCCCGATTTACAACGGTACACTTTAAAGCTTTGTCCGATAAAGTATGAATTGGATATCAATGTTTTTGTTTCTTTAAACTGTTTATTTTCATTCGTCGTTACTCTGAGAAAGTGACTTGTGCATTTCTTCTGTATAAGAAGCAATGAAGAGTCTTACAGAAAAAGAAACACTTTTCGAGTCAGATAAACGACGGTATTTTTAACTATTTTGTTAAAATTATGGATTAGGCATTGTCATTTTTGCATGTAGGGTTACTTGAAATAACGCTTGCAGTCCCTTTAAGTAGAGAGATTATTTTTAAATAACAAATTGAATATTAAAGGGACTAATATTAATATTTCAAGGTTTGCTTGCCTTCAACAGCAGAAGAAAATAAGCAGGTGACTGTTAATCCTAAAAATGGCAAGGGTGTATATTTTCTCTAAAAATAATTTTTTATCACTCCACCCCCGCTTTTTGAAACTAATTTTTTTCCCCGGAAAGTTATTCATTCATGTTTGTGCGGGGCGCAAACATTTTGAAGGAGTTTTTCGCTCAATTGGGGAAAAATCAATAATTTTTAGCGAAAAACCAATAAATTTTTTGGTAAAAAGCATAGCAAAAATTTTTTTTCGTCTTTGTTAACTTTTACATTTTTTCCCGAAATCGAAAAAATATACATCCCTGACAAATGGTCAAAAGAAATTGTTTGATCATACGATTGCTTCATTTGACTCCTTTCAGTGCACAATAGATTTGTTTGATTGATTATTAACATTAAACGATTCTGTTTAATTACTTGATCGGATGATTAATTGATTGTTTAATTGTTCAGCATTGGATTAAGAGGACTGAACACTAATAATGCTCTACATGCAGTTGACCGCTCCCAGCCCAATGGAGTTGTTCTACCTGGGGTAAATATTTATTTTTTGTGGTATTTAAATAACAGTTATTTTTATTTGTTTTTAAAAGTTGTCAAGAAGTAGCATTAGTCTGTCTACTTAAATGCAAGCTTATAATGATGAAGCAATGTTTTTTCTAAAGTTTATTTTTCTCATCTAGGAAGAGGGCTTTATTGTTAAGTCCCGCTGGTCAGATGTTCAGATTCCCGAAATGAACTTGGCGGATTATGTCTGGGAGGACATTGAGCACAATGCCGCAAATCCTGCTCTGGTAGGCGATATTTTAAATTAAGAGTAATTAAACCTCTAGACATCAGAAACATTTCTTCCAATAATACGCGGGGGGAATTTCTAATGATTTTTGAGAAAAAATGAAAAATTTGACTAACAATGGAAACTTGAAAAGGTTTACCCTCTAATCTATTTTTTTCACCTTCAGCGAAAATAAGCTCTAAAAAACATATCTGAGGGGATACATTATTTTCAAGAAGGGTCACTGGTAAAACTAGTTTTTATAGAAAATATTTACTCCTGATAATAGGTCTGCGGTATGACTGGAAGAAGTTATTCCTTTGCTATGGCCCACGGACTGTCCAAGAAGTTCGGTTCTGCTCTTCTTCGAATGGGGGCGAAGAAAGGAGACGTTATTGGTCTTGTTCTTCCAAACATACCTGAGTTTCCGATAGGTATGTTGATCCATAAAAGTATTTTTGAATTATCTCTCGGTCCTGAAATTATATCCCCTCCCCCTTGTAAGTACATTTTTACTGAAAAAAGAAACTTAATATTAAAAAAGTTCTGAGGATCTTTTCCTTTTGTTTACAAAGGTTCCACGTCCTTTGGATATTTAGGAACATGTTTATGAAAATGGATCTGAATCCAGATCCAGCTAATAATAAATAATAATAAATTGTTCTCTATTGTAAATTTCACTTAAGCTGCTTTTGTTTTGCAGAAATAAAATTTTTCTTTCAAAGGAAATTTTATTTTGCATGTTTTTTGTGAGATTATTTTTTCGCTATAATTTTTGCAAAGCCAGAGACGAATTCAAGGAGTCAAAATATTTTGGATCCAGATTCATGGAGCAAAACATTGTGGATCCAGGTTCAAGGAGCCAAAATATTCCGGATCCGGACTCAAGGAGCCAAATTAATGCGGATCCGGATTCAAGGAGCCAAAATATTGTGGATCCAGATTCAAGGAGTCAAATTATTGCGGATCCGGATTCAAGGAGTCAAATTAATGCGGATCCGGATTCAAGGAGCCAAAATATTGTGGATCCAGATTCAAGGAGTCAAATTAATGCGGATCCGGGTTCAAGGAGCCAAAATATTGCGAATCCGGATCAAGGAGTCGAAATGTTGCGAATATAGAATCCTAAGCATTGTTACATATCATTCTCGATGTGAACTGATTTAAGGAACTGCTTTATTTACATATAAGAGTACTTTAACTGGGAGTAATAAACTCAGAGATGCTGACACCGACCTTTGTTTAAATTCCTCCCAGAACCAGAATTTGGTAAAGTAAGATTTGGCCCGAGCTGAAATCTCTTGAAAACCCTTAATCCCGATTGCTAAATCTTAATATCCACCGAGGACACTTTTGTTTTCTGCTTTATCCTCTTTTGGATATCCTTGCTGGATTCCCCGACTAATGAGAATTCTCTCCTTTATTGTTAGCAAAATTTCTCGGCTTCTCATTCGCTGTTAGTTCTCTTCAATCGACACTTTGGTTGTATTTTAGACTAAATTGATGTACAGATTAATAAAAAAGGATATCCTACATTGATCTTGATATCCACAATTCTAAAGTTTTAAGCTCCGACGGAACTCTCCTGTTGTAGTATTTATGGGAGCTGTTGGTGTGAATGTAACTGTGACCACCATGAACCCAACATACAGACCTGAAGAGATTGCAAGGCAAATGGAGAACTCAGAAACTAAGTATGTATTTCTAGTTTTCTAAATACAGGGTTACTTAAAAAGGATGAGACTAAAGAACCCAAAACTATAAAAATATAACGATTTTTGGTTTTTGCACTAAATTGAGTATTTTGAAGGTTTATGTAATGATTAATCACAGAAATAAGCCATTTTGGCCTACAAGGAACCCTGACTGCAAGAGAAAGGACAAAAACAATTCCATACAATCGTCTCTGAAGTCTCATCCTTTGTGAGTAACCCTGGGTGTCCCACATCATATTGGATCATGTATAGTACAAAATTGGGATTTTCGGGACTAAACAGAATTTTTTGAAACATTTCAAAATTGTATAAAATTGAGAACACAAGTTGCATCCAGAAAATTAAAAGTTTTTCGAGTTTTCTGTTCGTATTTTGACGTTAAAGCTTGGAGATAATTTAATCTGATAATGGACGCTCTGTATATGTTGGATTTGTACGTTGGTGTGTTCGTCCAATAAACGTCAAAACTCATGTACAGAAAGGGCTTAATTTTTTGTGTTGTAATTCACATGACACCAGGGAAGGTTTATGGCTGGTCAAACCCGTAAAAAAATCATGACCTTGAAAGATAAAAAAATATGCGTAAGTTTTATTTGTTTTTTTTTTAAGGAAGGACAATCATTAATTGAAGCGACCGGACCCTTAACACTCATAATGATTAACTTTACTTATTATTTTTACTTGGATTTTTAGCAAGAAAATCATCATGGTTTTTATTACACTAAGGCTTCCAGGACGCTTCGCACCCATGTTTGATTTTAACTTTTAATTGTTTTTTTTTATTGTTTTCGTCGTTTTTGAAAAATCGAAATTTTTGAAGGCAAATTTTTTAATTCTAACCATCCATAAACAATTCCTAGGATCATGTGAGGTCCCACAGAAAATTTGGGCCAGATAGATGTTTAAATGTTTAGATTTATCGTGACCATTGGGATGTTTGTGCAGAATATCAAGCAGTCCTGTGATATCTATACAGGGGTGGAGAAGATTATCGTCATTGGAGATGCTATTGCACCAGGTAGCACGAAGACTCTATCGATCTATATTAATAGTTCCTGACAGCACAAAAGCTTCCAGGAAACCACCCCTACTCACAATCCTTCCTTCTAGAGAACATGGATTACAGAGTTAGCATGACATGTGCATGAGTGGAAGTAGTCCACGCCGTGATGCCCTAACTACCGTGACCTCAGACCTGTACCTACAGCCAGAATTTTAATTTTACATTTCTACACTTTCATTCTTTATGAACATGTATCTCACTATTCATCTATGAACATCTAGTTTATATTCTTCCTTTAAATATTTTCCTCTTTTTTTCATTCCCCTATTTTCATAATTAGATTAATCTGGGGGGGGGGGGGGAATGAAAAATTGGACATCAGTAGGCATATTTTTTCGTTCTTCATGTTACTTTTTACCTAAAAATTCATTATATCCCCCTAAAAATCATTACCACACAACCATAAAAAATACATAGATAAATAACTGGAGAAAAAACATATTTTCGAAATTGGAGAGGGGAAGGGGTGGGGGAATGATTTGCCATCATAAAAACATAGTTTTAGAGAAAAATATTTTTTTTTGTTGCAATATATTTTTTATTTTTTTTTAGAGGGTTGTATATCCTTCCTGGACCTAATAATGGGAGAAGATGGTTCCCTGTACGGACAAGACAAGTAAGTTTTTGTGTTTAAAGGGACTATTACTGTAATATCAAGTGACTCTCCAGGACAAGATCATCACTAGTGTACTCTTTAAGTTATTGATAAGTTAAAGGTTTAAGGGTACCATTGTGAATCCAAATTGTTCTTACAGCAACTTAGGAAATAGAGATTGGGTTCTCCCAAGCGCAGTCCAAGGGCGAGACTACATTCTCAATTAGTCCTGTCGTGAAGTCCTTGGATTGTTTTCTGGGTAAGCTTGTTATTGAATCCACTGAATTTAAGAGGCAAGTTCTTATATTGGTGAGATCTGACCCTAGGGACTAACTTCCACCACTTATCGAAAACAAACTTCATTTAGGTGCTGGAAACCTTTCGCTAAATTAAAAGTGATAGACTTTCCTATCTGGGTTAAAACTAGAAGTTAAATCACTATCCAGAGCTTTTAAATTTTTACTATTTAGTCTAGAGATGGAGAGAAGGTTTACTTATTCAATAGCATTAAAAGAATCCTTGTTTTGGAGCCCAGGAGGTCTCCTTTCTACTGGCCAAGTAGTCTTGAGTCAATGAGTATACTCCAGTTTTAACCATCATCGCCGGAGCTGGAGCTGTCCGAGTTTGATTTAGATGAACTGAATGAAAAATAAGAGGATGAGCAGGATCTCTTCTTCTTCTTCTTCTTTTTAGATTTCTTAGATTTATACGGTTTACTGGCCCAGACTTCGGACAGTGCCTGTATTAGCGCTAGTTGAGCAGAGTTGGTCTTTGTTTGGAGGATCTGGCTAGAGTTAGGCTGAGATGAAAGATTAACAGTGGAGGTTGGAGGGATAGGTCTGGGAACTGAAGTAGAGGTATGAGGGTTAGCAGATGGGACAGAAGTTAAAGTGGGAGGATTGGATCCAGAAATAGAAGGGACTAAAGGTTGTGCCCCACAGGTTGTATTGGAGACTGGTAGACTAGATGTATTACGGAAAATCTCTAGGAACTGTTGAACACTGTGTGACAGAATCCACTATGGGACAAATCTGTATGGGGCAATTCTACTGTGGGAGTGAATCCACCATGGGACAGAATCCACTATGGGACAGAATCCACTATGGGACAGAATCCACTATGGGACAGAATCCACTANAAAGAGCAACAGGAAATTAAGGAAAAATAATCCACTAAGGGATATGGGATAGAATCCAATAAGTGATAGAATCTACTAAGGGATAGGATCCACTATAGGATAGGATCCACTAAGGGAAAGAATCCACTATGGGATAGGACCCACTAAGGGGCAGAATCCACTAAGGGATAGAATCCACTATGGGATAGAATCCACTAAGGGGCAGAATCCACTAAGGGATAGAATCCACTATGGGATAGAATCCACTATGGGACAGGATCCACTAAGGGAAAGAATCCACTAAGGGATAGGACCCACTAAGGGGCAGAATCCACTAAGGGATAGGGCCCACAAAGGGGCAGAAACCACTAGGGGCCAGAATCCACTATGGGAAAGGAGAAAAGTAAAAATAAACTAAGTAGTAATTAAAATAAACCAAAAATATGAATAAACAAATGAAAGGTGTAAAATAAGAAGTTAACACATAAGAGAAACCAAATAATAAAATAATTTAAAACAAGTAATAAATTAGAATTAAAGTATAATATAAAGTGTTAAGGTAATATAAAAATAAACTAAAGTCAGGAATAAATAAGAAAAAGTATAAATTAACTGTTATTAAATAACAAGAAACAAGTTGCTTTGTTTAATAATAAAATAAAACAAGCTGGAAATAATAAAAATATAGAGATTAAAAACAAACAAAAGGTGATAAAATAAGAGAAAAGACAAAGAAAAACAAACAAAAAGAAACACCAACCTATAGGCTGAGCTGCAGGACCTGGAGCAGCTGGCCACAAAACTGGAGGTGGACAGAACTTGAGGGAATTGACCCCTTTGGCTAGGATCTCTTGACATCTTAGATTGAAGGACTGAAGATTCTGTTTAACTTCTGGTAGAGCCGCGGAATGTAGTATAGCCGACAGAGCACTGCGGAGGTCAGTTCCTGAAGGAAAAGGGCCGAGGTCGGAGAGAGGAGAGCCAGGGATAATTGCTGGTAGAATAGGAAAACCCCAAGGTCTGCTGATAGGGCTGGCATTGCAAGGAGGTCCCAAGGGGAAGTCAAAGCTGCAGAGTTTTAACCCGGGAAACCTGGGGTCTTTGTACAAGGGGTAGAGTTGGAGTAGGGTGTCTTCGTAGCAAGGGTAGAGGAGGATTATAATTTTGATGAATTCATCAGAGATGGGATGAAGGAAAGCTCTGAGAGTAAATGGTGAGACGCCTTTATTAGTTAGTTGGTCTTGGGAGAGAACTGATGCACTTTGAGAGAAGGAGTGGGGGATGGCGGAACTAGGAAGATAATTTGAGACAAGTTTACCATCAGGGAAGTTGAAAACACTGAGGTCGGGGATGCTGAGGATTAGCTTGGTGGGCTGAGGTGGGTTCCAGAATAGATTGCAGTTAAAGGATTTATCTGAGAATAGTTCTCCGAGAAGTACACAAGAACCGGAGAGCACTCGCTGGTTGTCCGGGCTTAAAGTGAGGGGGAAGGTGGCGTAGGCCCCGCCGTTCCAGTGTACGGCGGTTAGGAAGGTGGGTAGGTCAGCATTGGAAGATATAGAGAGGGCTCTCAGCTCATCGATGGATAAATCAGAAGGAACGGAGAATAAATCACTACGGATCAGGGGGGGGTCCTTCTTGGGTCTACCCATCCTGAATAGAAAGAGAGTTAGAAAGGAGCAAGAAAATAGGAAAGCCCGTCAAATAAATATTATAATTTTAAATGTGATAAGAAAGCTGTTAAATAACTGTTAAATTGCAAGTAGTAGAGAATAAATAGGTATAGGAACCAAAGAAACGTAAAAAATAAGAAAAACTGTAAAATCAAAGCAGGGGAACAAAGTAATCATGTAAAAGCGGAATAAAGTAATAAAATTTAATTTATTAATGAGGAACTTCGATTTAAACTACAGCAGACCAACAGGTTAAAGAGTAGCGAAAAATACAAACTACAGCAAACCAGCAGGTTAAAGATTAGAGAAAATACAAAGGAAAAAGAAAAATGACGACAAAGCGAAAATAACAAAGAAAAAAGGGTTGAAATATTTAAGTAACGATAGAAACCAACTGTAAAGTAGAAGTATTCTAGCAATAAAGAAGAAAAAAGACAAAGAAAAAAGTTGAACAATGAGATATCAAAAAATTAGAAAGAATAAGTATTAAAGTAACAAAGGAGATAACAGAAAAATTAAAGTAAAAAAGGAGATAGCAGAAAATTAAAGTAAAAAAGGGGGAGATAGTAGAAATATTAAAGTAAAAAAGGGGGGGGGGGAATAGTAGAAATATTAAAGCAACAAAGGAGAGAAATGAAAAAGAGAGGTTAAGCAAAGAAAACCTGAAGATAGCTGAACAAATAATAAAATTAGTAAAGAAAATCAAAGATAACTGAGAAAATTAGTAAGCTTAATAAAGTAGAGAAAGTTAAAACGAATAGCAGAATGACATGTAAAATAGGTGAAATTAATCTTTCCAAATAAAACTAATTGCGTAAATAGGTGAAAATAATCTTTCCAAATAAACTAATTGAAAGAAAAGCAAAATAAGGTTAAACCATAAAGTTACACTATAGTAAACCGAGGAAGAAAAAAGTAAAAGTAACAACTGTAATAAGATAAAATAAAATAAAAACGTAACTATCCTGTAGTATCTAGAAGAAGTTAGAGAGAACCGCCTAGGTTGAAACTGGGAGGAAGAATGAGGGGCCTACAGCCAGAGGGGAGTAGAGAGAGAGAGAGAGAACAGGTGGCCAGGAAGGAGAGAGAGTAACGCGGTAAGGTTGCGCTACGGAAGCTATGGACTGCCCTGGTTCGCATCGTCTTCATATCTTTTAAACATCCTATCAATAGATTGATGGAGGTCTAAAAGTTTATGAACATATGCTACCTGAGTTGTCAGCACTTCCGTAGAGAAGAGGAGAGGAAGTGAGGACCATAGAGGAAGTAGGAAGGATGAGACCGTGTACTGTAACAAACAGAAACGGGGTCACCGGAAGGGTGTTTGCCTGTAGTAAATTTATAGGGGTAATTTAAAAGGCTTAAAATAGGGAATAGTAAACCGGAGGACGCGGAAGGATAGAGAGTAAAGGCGGGTAGAAGTAGTAATGAGGTAGAGGAAAGGGAAATAAAAACCCCATAAAGGCAAAGACGAGTCCCCATGCAAAGCACCCTAGGAACCTGGGAGAGCACTTAGCAGTTGAAACCCAGGATTAGAGTTCTCTTAGAGAGGTCTGAGAGAATCTTGTCACCGAGGTTGTCGTCTTCAACAGGGTTGTCTATCCACTTAAGTAGGGAGGCAGGGACCCAAGCAGGGCCTAAAGGCAGGTCGATATGTTGCTCTCTAGCCAAGCTCCAGAATTGGGAGAAGGAAGCTTTAGACAGGTGGTCAGCTAGCGTGGCAAAAGAGGTAGAACATCTAGTGATTTTGTTGAGATCTACCGAGCAACCGAGGCCAGCAGCTACTGTAGAGATAGCGATGACTAAAGTGGTGGAAAGAGCGCAGGAATTGCTATACCCCTTTTTCCAGATGAAAACTGAAGCAGAATTGTCAACCCATATGTTAATAGGTCTGTTTTTGCAAAAGGAGAACCCACTAGACACAGCTAGTAGAGGACCTACAAGTTCCAGGGCTGACATTGCTCGGTTTAGTTTTCTGTTGGAGGAAGTGGCTCTACCAAAGTTAATAGCTTTAGACCAAGGTAGGAACGCCCACCAGTTGTTAGTTACTGCTCCAACACCAAGTCCACACTTGTTGGGAGAGCCACCGGCGGCATCAGTGTAAATATCTGTAGCCCAAGGGGGAAGGCTGGAATCGGGGTTTGGGATTTGATTCTGACCGTTGCATAATCTTATCATGGATAGCCAAAAAAAAATTTGTTTTTTACACATTGGTGAGAGGGTGAGTATGGTGTCACGGTGATTAGAGAATTTGTTAGCAGCTAGTAAGTGGTGAAAGTTGAATTTCCCGGTTGGGATTAGGGGTCTAATATGGATGAGTTTACCAACCAGGCTCCATATTTGATGTTGACGGACAGAGTCAGATTGTAGACAAATTAGTAGATCATTCAGTAGGCGAGCTAATTTGTCTGCACTGAGAGACCAGGTCCAAGAGCAAGTGTCATATCTAATGCCCAAAACAAGTCCATGAGTGTTGGGAGCAAAAGACTTGTCAGGATCATCACGTGGAGCTAATTGTACTCCGAGTAGAGAAGTTATTTGGTAGAAAGTGGCATCGAAAACTGAAAGTGCGTCACTATGGTGTGGAGCAGCTGCGCAGCAGTCATCTAGGTGTTGTACGACCATGTTTTTAGGAAAGTCAGCCTTAACTAGAACGATGTGTAGGACTGCTTTGGCTAACCTGTCGAAGAGGCCAGCGCTGCTGGCACAACCAAAGATTAGGCACAGCTCTTTGAAGGCCATACCTGCCCATGAGAACCACTGAAGGTTGGTGTCAAGTAGAGAGACATTAACATGTTTGTAAGCATTAGCCCAGTCAATTTTGCAAATTTTTGCAAATCTACCGGCCCGGTGGAGGACTCGGAGCCACTCAGTTGTGGAAGACATGGTGGTAGGAAAGTCGTCACTGTTAATACCTTCGTTTACAGAGCTACCAAGTGGGGCACTAAGATTAAGAATTATTCTCACAGAACCGTCAGGCTTAAGTTTTGTCATTATGCCAGAGAATTTGGCATCAGGAGGGACTAAGTGCATAGGAACCGGGCCATAGGCGAATTTCTTCTTGAGCCAGTCTGCAATGGCGTCGGACACATGGGGGCCAAACTCATAAGCACTAGGAGCGTTGGAAGCACGGGAAGGGAGTCTGTAAATACCCTTGCAACCAATATTCACCCCAGTTTTAAGGTCACTGCACATAGTATGAGCAAGGTTAACATCAGGGAAGTTAGTTTCCAGTAGTAAGCTGAGTAAGGTGTCTGGGTTTATTGAGGAACTGGCAGGTTGATGTTGATTTTTCGGGAAAAGAGCCCAGTAAGAATCAGGGGCTGCAGACTTGTAGCAAGTTAAAACAGGGAGGTTGTGTTTTGGTTTAAAGATTTTTTGTGGAGGCAAAGTGGGAATTGGGGTGTTGTAAAGCAGAAAAAATTTATGTTTCCATACTTGTAGTTGATTGATTGTGAACTGGCTGAAATCTAAGGAGTATGGTGTTTCTTTTTATTAGATACTGACAATATTGAGACTAAAGTAAAGAGTGAGAGGTGGAAAGAGTATAAAAAAGAAGGGGGGAATTTATCTCAATATTAGTTGTGATAGAGTTTCCAATTTTAGGTTTCGTCGTAAACAGAACAAAAGTTGTGTAAATGTTATATTGACAATTCCGCAAAACGTTAGTTAAAGGCAGAGGTATCAAAAGGTCGTCTTACATATTAGACGGACGTGATTATATGTATGTTATAACTGGAGGAGAAGAAAAAGCATGTACGGGGTCAAGGATTATATGGGAGTCAAGTTATATTAAAATTGAATTCAAAGTAAAATATAATCAAGCATACGATTTGTTCAACGAAANGCTCCAGGGATGCCCTGTACATGCGAGTATACATGTACGTGCAAGTGTATGAGTACATGAACATAAGAATATAAGTATATGTACATGTGTGCAAGTACATGTACAATCTCATCAGATAAATTTGAAATGTGGGACCAATATAATTGGTGTAAAGCAAGAAAACTATTCACCTATATATTATGAAGAAAATCTGATGAGGATATGAAAACGTTGTACTTGTAAGATGCTCATGTACATGTATATTCGCATGAAATATCTATGTAAGATGTACATGTACATGTATATTCGCATGAAATATCTATGTAATAAGAAGACATTATTGGCGTACATATTGCTGATAAAAATATTTTTTTTTTTTTTTTAAGAATATAAGAGTTGAAGATAAGACAAAACCTGTAAATTACTCTCTATTGTATGTATCTGTAACCGAAAAGAAACTGACATTAAATCGGTGCTAAAATTAACATAACTTCTTTAGAGATAAGTCAAATAAATTCAACTAAAAGGAATAGTTATTAGAATAACTGCAACGCTAGATTATCGAATGAATAAATTTTTTATTTAAGAAATAATTTTTGGCAATTTAAAATCGTAAGTAAAGCCACAATAAGCTGAATTTGGTAAATTTTAGGTAAATAGAATAAAGTTTTGCTGAGCAAAGAAAAAATAATATAAACTGCAAGTGGAAGTAGTATAAGTTGAACTTGAAGAGGGTTAATGATAAAGAATGTACAACAGTAATTATAAAAAACAAGTATATTTAAATGAAAACGAAATGATCCTGAGAAATCACATTCAGGGATGGTTGATTCTAGGGTGTCTAGCGAAGCAATGAGAATTTTTGGCCTGAACCCATCTGTTGCACACATGTGCGTAGTCTTTACCAGACTTAGGATCACGACAGCCTGGAGTAGACTGTGGATTCCTGCATGACCCAGAGTTGTAATTAAAGCAAATGGGAACATTGTTGTGGAGTACAACGTTAATCTTAGGTTTGAGGGTCCCAGTGCTAGAGTTGGACCTGGAGAGGTTGTTGATTGTTGGTCTGGGTTTAAAACCATCTGAACCAACCTTAGGAATCCTGAAAGAAGAGGGAGTTGAACTGCTGAATCCAGATGAAGTAAGGATGTTCTTGAAAGCTTCGACTTGTTCATCATAGTCCATGATGAGATCTCTTCTGACAGCTCTGGTGGCATTTTCTCTGAGAACCAGATTGAAGAATGCAGTGATGATCGCAACTCTGTCTGAAAGGCTGGGAGCGGCAGAGGCATAATTAAACTTGTTGACGACTCTCATCAGAATGAGTCCAGTTTGGTCATAAGGCCAGATGTGGAGCAGGGCCGTGGTGTAGTTGAGAAGGGTATCTGCAACTTGAGAAATAGAGGTAGGGTTCTCCCAAGCGTAGTCCAAGGTAGAGACTATCCCCTCTTCTTCACGTTTTTCAATCTTTTTAACTGGTTTGGTGGACACATTGACGTTGGCAGAGTGAAAATGCTTGAACTGCAGGGACTTTGTTCTGTCGTGAAGACCTTGGATTGTTTTTTGAGTTAACTTGTTATTAGATCCACTAAATTTGAGAGGCAAGTTCTTATATTGATGAGATCTAACTTTAGGGACTAGCTTCCACCATTTATCAATTTTAGCCAGGGGGTAACGAAGAAAACGAGCTTCATGTAGGTGCTGGAAGCCGTTATCTTTGGCTGACTTAAAAGATGTAGACTTGGGTTTCCTATCAGGGATGAAACTAGAAGTTAAATCGCCATCCAGAGCTTTCAAGTTTTCGCGTTCTAGTTTGGCAATAGACAGTAGGTTGACCAGATCTATAGCATTAAAAGCATCTTTGTTCTGAAGGCCAGGGGGCCTCTTCTCTACTGGCCAGACAGTTCTTAGGAGGCTCCAGTTGGAACCGTCATCTTCAGAGCTGGAGCTGTCTGAGCTAGAATTAGCCGACTCTGAAGAAGAGGAAGAGGCAGAGTGTGAACTCTTTTTCTTCTTTTTCTTAGATTTCTTAGATTTTGAAGGTTTCTTCGCCGTAACTTTGGACAGTGCCTGTATAAGTGCCAGTTGAGAAGGATTAGACTGACTAGAGTTGGGCTGAGAAGGTAAGTTAACAGTTGGCCTGGAGACGGTAGTTGGGTTGGGTCTGGAAACAGCTGGAATAGTGGAAATGTTGGATACTGGCAAACCAGGTGAGGTACGGAAAATATCGAGGAAATGCTGAACATTAGGGTCCAAAGTGACAGTGTTAGAAGATGTGCCAGCTAAACCTGAATATTTGTCATGGTTATTTGCCAAATAAATGAAAGGTTTGAAGACAGTAAAATAAAACTTAGTATAAGGATAGTTATGCAAATTGCAAAATAATGTTTGGTATAAGGCGAGTTATTCAAGTAGTAAAATAAAGATTTGTTAAAGGTGCGCCATAGAGATAGTAAAATAAAATTTAGTATAAGCAACAATGGCTGCATTTGTATTAGTCAAAAGTAAAATTTGAAGCATTGATCTCTTACTGTAAACCTGTCAATTCAGAGAGGAAAAAAGTTAATATGAGATAGTCAAATAGGATATAAACTACCTGACGAACTGTCAGAGGCAAGGTTGGCAGCATTAGAATAAGCGTCTTGGGTGTAGCTGGTAGACTGAACGCAGTCAGTGGGTTGCAATTGTTGGTCTGTAAGCAGACGTGCAGGTACGGCAGCATGGCCTGGGAATTAAGAAAGTAATATTTGGAGAAAGATCTCAAATTAAATTAATTAAATGTCTAATTAAAATATAAATAAAACATTATCTGAGAAAATAATCAGATTGTGCATTAATGCAAAAGTTAAGTAAACAAATGTAAAGAGGCAAAAGCAAAATAATCAAATGTATAAATATAGTAAGTAGCGTAAATAGTGATTTATAGAGAATAAGGTGAATTAAGGAAGTTGAGGAGTTAATTTTACCTAGTTCATTAAAGAGATTATCCATTAAAGAGTTGGTGTCTTGGTCGACATCTGTGAGCGAAGCTGAATCATCGTTATCCGAAAGGTGACCAGCTGGGTCTAAATAAAATAAGTATAACAAATAGCATAGTTAAAGAAAAAAACAGGGTTAATAACAAACATGGGAATTATAGTTAGTATAGAGGACATAAACAACCTAGTGTGTTAAAGGTGTAGACCGCCAATGGCTGTAGCCATAGCCAGGCGTTTAGTCCTGGGTAGTTTGAGGTAGGTTTGAAAAGCCCTGCTGGACCATCTGCCGACTTGTTTGATGTCGTGGTCATCAAAACCGAGAGATCCTAGTACGGAAGGAATTCCAGCTCTGAAAGAGTGGCCAGAGACATATCCAATGTTAAAATTGATGTAAGGAGACAACCAAATTTTAAGCTGCTTGTTAAGACATTTGCTGGTGAGGGAATGTCCAGAATCTAGTCTAAAAGCAGGGAGATTTGCAGAGAGGAACGTTTGACATTTCCTCCACTTGGAGAAAGCTCTGACAGGGCAGAGATCCGTGCAAGTTGGAAAAATGTCTACAATATCGACAGAGCTGGCATTGCCAGACTTAGGTGACTTCACTAAGACAGTTACAATGTCAGTGTATGAATTATTAATAGGAATGGTGCAAATAGAAATGTCCGAGTTGAGGAGGGTAAAATTAGGGTCGAAGGAGGACGACTTTCTACTAAGGAGTTCACTCATCCTAAAAGAACCATGGAAACCAGTGGTACATAACAACCAGAAGAGGCGTTTGTCAGCCTTGGACATATTGGTTTTCTGGATTTCAATTTTGAGTAGGCGCAGAATACAAGGAGTCACTGGGAGACGTTTTGGCTTGAAATTAGGGGTGATGGAGTCAAGGTTAGACCTGCCTCGTAAGACCTGTGACACCAATTCTGATCTGATGTCGGGGATCTGGGTCCCCAAGGAAAGATGTAACTGTCTCAAGGCAGCTAGGTAAGAGCTAATTGTAGATGACTTGAGGCCTCTATTGATTAGCCAAGCAGTGAAAACTAGAACTTGATTTTGAGATATAGGCAGGCTTAATGGTATTTGTAAATCAAGAAAGCATTTAATCAAAAGCCTGGAAGCTGACTTATAGGAGGACCAGGTATGTATTGTTAGGGAGTGGTTAGCGGCAACCGCTAACAAGTTCTTAAAGTCGAGGTCCAAAGGTAGGCTTGCAAAAGAGTTTGTGCTGTAGAGGCCATAGGGACCGTATTTAGTAAAACCCCGAGTGGAACAAGGGACAAACTGTTGAGGGTCTGTAAGAAAAGAATATTCAAAGTT